AGCGGAGCCACAGAGGAGCCACGCAGCGGAGCCAAGCGGAAGGGCCACAGCGGAGGCAGAGCGGAGCCAAACAGCGGGCAGAGCCGGAGCCAGAGCGGAGCCAGAGCGGAGCCAGAGGCGGAGCCAGAGCGGAGCAAGCGGAGCCAGAAGCGGAGCACAGCGGAGCCACAGCGGAGCCACAGCGGAGCCACAGCGGAGGCCACAGCGGAGCCACAGCGGAGCCAGAGTCGCGGAGCCACAAAGCGAGAGCAGAGCGGAGCCAGAAGCGGAGCCAGAGCGGAGCAAGAGCGGAGCCACCAGCGGCAGCCAGAGCCGGAGACAGAAGCGGAGCACGAGCGGAGCCAGAGCGGAGCCAGAGCGGAGCCAGAGCGGAGCAAGAGCGAGCCAGAGCGGAGCCCAGAGCGGAGCCACAGGGAGCAGGCGGAACCACAGCGGAGCCACAGCGGAGCCACAGCGAGCACAGCGGAGCACAGCGGAGCCACAGCGGAGCCACAGTCGGAGCAGAGCGGAGCCACAGCGGAGACCAGAGGGAGCCAAGCGAGCCAGAGCGGAGACCAAGAGCGGAAGCAGAGCGGAAGCCAGAGCGAAGCCACAGCGGAGCAAAGCGGAGCCACGCTCCCTCAACCAACCAAGCGGCTGCTAGACCCGCAAAGTGGTTTTTTTTATCGAATTCTCTATATTCTACTCTCCCATTGCGAAGTGCTACTTTCTCCTACTCCTGTAAATCACAGGACCTTTCTGTTGGCTAAATAATTCACACTTGAATTGGCAATAAGTCCTACCAACTCGTAGCTGTTGCAAATCTCAGATGAATGCCCTCATCGTTTCGCGAAGTCGGGGGGATTTATCGTCTATTTCCAATGCATTCGAAGTATTACTTATGATAATTTTTTTTATAATTTTCCGTTTTGCAAAAGATGCGTGGCAGCGATCACAGCGATCCATCACCGGATGCAAGCCGGCGAGTGGCGTCAATCATGCCTGCAAGGTTGTGATAACGTACTTCCTTGAGAATGCCATGGGCGCCGCTTGCGGCGGAAGCAACGTGGGGGATCGCACATACTCACGTCCGCACCACGTCCTTCCCACCTTAAATAATGGCTGGCCTCCATTTTTTTTACAGGAAGCAGCGGCAACCGTTTGCATTTTGGAACTGCAACGGCATCTGCTCCGCGAGGAGAAGCAGTCGAGCTACACCAGCTTTCCTCGCTTTCGGCCACAATATTTACTGTAATGATGTTGGGGGGAGAGCATGGCTTAACCACATTCTCTTTTAATATTCCATGTTTCGTCTGCTGCAGCGGCAGCGCAAGCAGCGAACGTGACAGCCGCCAACAGAGGACGGCGGGACAGCTATTCTAAATTAGAGAAACTATAAATCATTATGTTACAGCCGCTTCCGCGCTGGCAGCACGCCGAGGCCACTGTTGTCGTTCAGACAGAGCGAGGTCCACTGCGACTCGTATCCATGCTACGCAACGCCCCGATCGCACTGTGGAAACGTGCGCCTAACTAGCTGGCAGACATTGCAAAAAGCTAGTAGAGGCAACACAACTCCAACACTTGTGGCTGGCGATTTTAATGGCCAAAACCACACGGCTGGAGCTCGCGGCGTATTACCTGCCCGCGGCCGTAAGCTGAAAGCAACTGCCGATGCAAACGGCTGCGAGATCATCCGCACCTATTCGCCGCACCTACTAATTCTATAGACGAACTGCAAGCCCGATACTTTAGATATTCGCGCTATGCAAGAACTTCATTAACTACCGTTCACGAACTCTCCTCTGACCAATTCCAGAGATGGGGATATGAGTCGCGATCGGCTAACCCTGTCGACTGCACCCTCGACGACAGAAGAGGCGAGCGGACTGGAAGAAATTTCAGACGAGTGCCAGCAGCGAGCTGCCGATGCATCTGCCGCTGTCAAGGACCGCGGCAGATAGAAGCTGAGGCAACAACCATTCGCCGAAGCTGTGGACTCACAGCCTCAAGCGCAGCAGCGTGAGAAGCAGCGTTCTGCTCTAAAAAGGAGCAACCATTTAACCCCTTATCTTTTAAATATTATTTGTAGAAAAACAGGGCGGCGCAGATTTGTGGGCAGAGCACGCGAACCAGTTGATAAGTGGGAGCTTAAAACCAGACTTTGAAACACGTTAAGTTGCAAATCGAAACTGGCTGAATACCGTTATAGAAAATGGGGCCAAAATTGTTTGTCAGGTCTCAAACCTGAGGATAAATTCACTGCTGGCCAGTGCACTCGGCATGGCTTTCCAGGACGCGCCAATAAAGTGAGCCGCTTCAGACCAGAGCAGGAGAACTCGCAATAGCTCCAATGAGAGAAGCGAACTCCCTAGCTTAATGTCTAGAATTTTCATTTCAGCCGGTCCAGGAGGCGCCGAACCGCACGCTTGTCAAAGAACAACAAACGGATTAATGGAGGCCTTGCACGCGCCAGGCCGACGAGGCCGAGTTTCGGTACAGAGACTGAATTAAAGCGGCATCACGGGAGCTGAAGGACTAGAAAAGCTCTGGCCCCGACGGCATCCACTAACGGACGTCAGAACAGCTGCCGCAGCAAGCCATAGTGTTCTTAGTCCGCCTGTTTAATGCTATATTATGTTTCAGCATTTTTCCGAGTCAGTGGAAAACTGCACATAATTTTAACTTTTCACAGCAGGGTAAAAACTGAAAAGCCGCGAGTCGTACAGGCCCATAAAGCCTACTAACAGGTCGGGAAGTCTTTGTGAAAAACTACATTGCATTTTTGAAAAATACTTACCCTAGGCTAATTTCTGGAATAGTACCTCTGGTCGGGGAATAGGATATTTCTCAATTTCCAGTTGAGTATTCACCGTGGACTTAAAATCCCCACACGCGCGAATAGTTCGTGGATCTAGAGGAAGCAGGAAATAAGATAAACTTCTACGTAGACATTGGTTCACCGGTTACCTTGATTAACTTACGGACATACTGCAGGTTAGGGGCACCGCAGTGAAATAGATCTAGTTTAAACTTGTTTTTTCGGCAAAGCCGGGAAGGGACTATTACAGTATAATAATTTCATTCGGTCTTTGCGGCGACCCCATGTCCGTGACATTTCAATCAAATTTACTGATGAATTTGAAGTGGATATTTTGATTTTGGCGGTACTTTTCATGAAGCCTGAACATTTTCAAACTTATTTCAATAACTGTTCCAAACTTTTCTTTAAACTTTTCCCCCTTTGGTTGAGGGAATTGCGCAAAAGAAATAACATAAGTCCCATATTCGCTGCCGTCCCAAAATTTTCGAAAATTACAAAAGTTCGTAATTTTTCTTTCGTCTTTCTACAGCTGCAATAGTGAAGTAAACTTTTTTCATTTTTCTCAATTAATACAATAGTGAACATAGATTTTTCCCTCAATGAAATCTCATCAAAAACGGATCTTCCAATACGGTCATGTTACTTTTTCGAAAAAATAGTAATTTTGCGTCATATACGTGAGAGGGTACTTTTAAATTTTAAAAAATTATATTCTCAAAAACGGCTCCCAATTTGTATTACAATACCCCCCCCCCACCGCATGTAACAAAGAACGGTAAAGAAAGTGCGGCTAGTCCCATTTTCAGCGAACCTCTATATTTCCGAAAATTACAAAACAAAAACAACCCAAACGGTAAGTTGAAATATCTCGCGCTTTGATTGACGAAGCTCTGTTACTTCGCAAACTGGCAACACGGCGGTTGGAAATTCTCGTATGTTTTGTCATTGTTGACGGTCGTGGTAATCGTATAATGTAGATAATTTTTATGAAAGGAAATAGATTGGAAGAAGGTAATAGTTTTATCTTGTTAGAACCAACACGTACACATCTTTCACTTTGAACCGTTTTGCGAGCATACCAGCCCTGAGGAAGACCACGACAGGATGGTCGAAACGTTGGCAACTCAGCCTTCGACGCGGCGTCACCCGGACAGCCCAGATCACCCACATGACTCTGGTCGGGGAAGCCTACGACTTCATTTACCGTATTAAAAAATTGGAAGCTATTTCGATGTAATCCAGGCAAGCTTGGATGAAATTATTCTTGCTTGAGGGAGTTGGATGTTGGCGAACGGGTGATTGAAGCGAGTTTGGGGAATACAAAGAATTCAGCTATTTAAGATCCTTAAATTGATTTCGTTACCAGCTCCTTTGATTCCATGTGGCAGGAACTGATCTTTCGTCGTCTCTCAATGTTTTGAGAAGTATCCTAAAATACATATTCCAGATGAACTTCACGTAGCCATCTCCGAATTAATAAAGTGTCAATGTTTTTAAGAGCTGTTCTACAGAGAAAGCGTATAATAAAATGAATGAAAAACAACTATTACATTTTGTGTTTTTATTAATTAATAATGCGAGAGTTTAATGTCGTCCCGGCATTTTCGGGTGAGTTAACTCTAGGTCAATAATAAATCTCTAACAATTATCTTAGAAACAATCATATCGAAGTCGATGACAACGGCGGCAATTAGACAGAATGTTCTTATGAGTTATTTTTATTAGATATTGAAATGGAGGTTCGCACAGGGTATACAAGAGAGTAAATGACCTACAGTTAATTGTTTATCATGCAAACACCGGGAACCATCGTTTTAGTATCACCTGCGATGTATGTCATTTCTGGCCAAAGCCTATTGTGGACCCACTCTTTAGGATGGGAGTATTTATTTCGTTAAAGGGGACGAATGGAATACTAGTAATATTGATTAATTAAACGAATATATCACACAACGTGGTCTGGATGAATCCTCAAAATGCTCTCGACAATATTTTCTTGTCCATTTTTTATTTGAATATTTTAGAGCGGAAATCACAAAGGAAGTACCGAAAGTGGATGGCAAAAATGATTACTTTTCCAGCAGATGACATCAAAGTGTCTGAAAAAGAGGGAAACCGCGGCCCCCAATTCTGTGCTTGCGCCGGCTGTCCATTCACCCATCTTCCTACTTCGCTTCTGAGTCACGAACGCGAGAAGACTTGCGAATGCGGGCGCGGGGTCCCCCACGTCACCAGGAAGCGCGCTCCTCGTGGGCTGGGCGGATTTCCCAGCACTTCGGTATATAAGCACCGACTGCCCCGCTACCAGCACCACGGCTGCGGCTACCATGGCGACTTCCTTCCCCGCGGTAAGTCGGCTCCAAGAGCTTTTCGCGTTTGAGCGTCTGTACGGTGTATGCGCAAAGGCTAGGGTCATTTCAAAAATACTTTCGCAAAATCAAGCTTTTTAAAGCCCTTTGCAACAATTCGAAACAAACTTGACCACTAAAAGAACGTTTCTCGTAAATCCCCTTCCTAGTACAGAAGACTCATGATTACCCGAGATATTTGAGACCGAAACTCGCTTCTAAAAAAACGAGTTAATTTGGAAAAGGAAAATCTCGAATTAATTTGCTACAGGATTATAAAGAAAATAATTTTTTATAAATACAAACAACTCTTAATATGTATATTCATACATCAATATTTTTTTCGAGAAAAAAACTTGGATATAAATTAACCATTAAACTTAGAATACCATTATTGAGAGAATCCGATGATTCTAGAATTCCGGAGTCTCGATATTCCTGGAAATAGTTATGGTATAGTTGCATATGCCGATTTGCTAATGTATTACATACTTCTGTTTCGGTTTTTCTTTTAGTTATTTACGGTAAATAGGCGCTTAGGTCATAGCAAACAACCATCTAAACAACGTATTAAGAGCGCGTGAATAGCAACGGTCGTTAAAATGCTCGAGTCCATTAAAAATATTTTAGCAGATATCCGAGTTCAGATTTTAGGAGTTTACATATTCTTTTTGGATAAATATGTCATTGCCACAAAACAGAATTTTGGGAACTGAATGTAAACAATTTGATTTTATAATTGTTTTGGTAAAGATATATTAAAGTTATACTTTTTAAAATTACCACTGAATGTAATGCCATACCAAGCTTGCGACATTCATCTTCGTATTACATGAAATCGATTCTCAAACTTTTATCCCTTTTGCTCTTGCCCCCCTCGTCTGTTTGTCTCCCTTTCCCATTTTGTCCCTGTGTGGTGACTTCTTAACTCATATGTGTTAAATGTTTATTTTGAATAAGTGATAAACTAGCAATAACAAATAACACTGTATGTAAAACATCCTCTATTAGTCATTAAGGACTTGTAACAACTACTTTTCTTTTTACTGTTGCCAATTCCATTAACTGGATTTTGGGTAAGTGTAAGCGTACTAAAACATAAATTTGGTGAAAGATTATACACAGTACACAAGTTAATTCAATCTTTTGAAATTAATAAACATTTTTTAAATCATTTTAACATTCATGTTTATTTGATATTTATAATACACTAATATTATAAAAGTTAATAACTATAAAAGTATACTAAATATTATAAAAGTTAATAATCAATTTCAATAAAATTTTAGATTTCTAAGAATTTTTAGTTTACTAAACACCTGGATAAGTAGTTTTGTTATGATAAACATTTTTATAAAACTGAGATTTTAAGCTTTGTAATAATTATAATTTTTTATTTTCAAACTACATGACTGTTGAAAATTTTATATTTTTAAAATATATATTCTTTTTTTATCTCATGACGGTGAGGGAGGGGAACATTCATTTGAGAGGATATCAGCGTTTCTAGTTATTGTCAAATAGCCCACTCAAAATAGTTTAAAGTTGCAAATGTATTTTTAGAATCGTGCCTTATATTTTCAAACGCCTTTTAGGTCTTTTATAAAAATTAAATTTACGCACATTTTCCTGCAGTATTTCTGGGAGAGAACACTACAACTAAAATTAGAAAATGGCAACTAGCAAAGTTGCTGATTAATGTTTTCAAATAATCAATAATATATACTCAACTGAAAGTTCACACTAGTAAAATAATTTTTTGTTTTGTAAATTTATGGAGATAAGTTACAATCATTTTAAATAGATATTTATTATGAAATAATGAATCTTAAACTAATGATTTTGCTTATTTTAATAGGTACTTCTAAAGACTTTTCTCCTGATGACTTTGCTGGGCTTAGTTGTAACACAGTATCGTTCAGGGTACTTGCCAAAACGACCAGTTGTCTACCCACGATTCCTGGGTGATGAAGATGCCACAATTGATAATCGTTTTGGTGGAGCAGCTACTACAGATGGATCGCTAATTCAAGATCAAGATATTCCTAAAGGATATGACCCGCAAATGTGGAGGACAGTTGCCTCTTGGCCAAAGGATAAACAGCCCTATTGGTTTGTGAATGCAAAACGCCCCAATGCTGAGAAATAACATTCTTCCAAACATTTTGTTTCACACTAACCAATCTTTGTTGTATTTAAATAAAATGCAAAATATTATTTTTGCTTTTAATTTAATCCATATTGTTCATGCTATAGCAGCCTTCCTTCATTTCAGTTTCCTTCTGAATTATTACTTCTAACGTTTGATTTTATTGACACAAGAGATATCAGGAAGAACACCCTGGCCATAGTCACATGTAATTTTTATACATGTAAAGAATTTTTTAAAAAAAGGACTTTCATAACAAAGGTAATTTGGTGACATAATTGGCAATCAAGCACTTATAAAACAATAAACTCAACATTCTTCCCTTCTGGTGTGCATCTCCACACATCTTCCACAATTCTCTCCTCTGGTACCTTCAGAATAATATGGAAAGTTCAAAGAATAACACACCTTTTAAATAGAAGTGTCAGTAGGAATTTGAAGAGTAAAATAAAAACAAGATTCATAATCAGAGTAGTTACATTCATCACAGTCCTCAAATACAGCGAAAAGCATTTAGCTTATAAAATTGTATAAATCATTCACTCCTTATAGGGAAAGAGTACACACTGATGTATGCTATTAAAAGGTGACGTTACATACACTAATTACACATTGTAACAAAAATTTGCATTTGAAGAAAAGGAAATGATCTGCTAATCTTCACTGGTACAATACACCATACCAACTAGCAAGATGCAATTTTTAAAGCAACAAAAACAATCACTTCAATGGCCTTTTCAAAAGACTTTTACTGAAGAAAAAGAGTCTTTTGTTGAAGTGAAGATAATCCTTTCTCAAACCACACCTAACCTCTGCACACACAGAGAAGATCTGCACAAAGTTGTTATGTACACAGTGAAGAATCATGAATATGTGTACTGCTAATATGAGAAGAAAAAAAAAGGTGTATTTTTATGCACAATTCAGCAAAAAAAGTTAAAGCAATGCCACCATAAATAAAACTAGATTCACAAAATTTGTAATAGAATGTCAGCTCTCAATGTACCTGTCCATAGTCATATATATTCATATTACAGAGTAGGTACTCTATTTTACATTCGTATATCATCTTAAGAAAATTAATGACTGTTTCACTTTCTTCATATTGCGATAACAAAATTTCAAAATGAGATATACATTAAATATAATAAAAAATGTTCACAAACCAGATTGTCTTTCACATGCTAGTTTCTATATTAACAACTGAACAAAAAGTCAGTTCAGAACCATGTGTAATCCCTCGTGTAATCCCTCAAATAAAGTATGTGAAAAGAATTATCCAATCCTAAAATCAAAGGTAAAATGTTTGAAGTGTCTTTTTACAGACATTACAGAAATAGTAATATTAGTAGTAGTAGTAGTAACAATAATAATGATTATGATAATAATAAGAAAGATCCGTTCCATAATATTCACACAACTGTCATAACATTCACTTAACCAGCAAATGCATTAATATCGTAATGTAAGTATTGTATTGAAGATTAAGGTGAGATCATCCAAACAAAATAATTTCATTCCATCATCTAATGATTAACCAAAACTTATTAATTTGGTGCATTTAACAAGTCAGGTTTCAAGCTGACTTACTACTTCATTACCTCCTCTGAAACCTTAGGAAGCATACAAATACAATTTTTTGATAAATTATTGTTCATCACAATCTTCTAAGAATTATTAATAATAACAATAATGTCCTAAAAACACTTTATGAACTATTGTTTTACCGAGGTGTTAATCAAACTGGAAAAATTATAGTGCATTATAAATTAAAATTTTAATAGTTTCAGATTTGAATTTTTATTCTGATGCTATTTTGAAGCCTATTTCAGGATCTGAACACTTTCTTTTGCTTAAAAATAGACACTTGCAATCAAAAAAGATTGTTCAAAGGATTAACATTTCTGTTGACCAAAACTCAGAATACTTTTTAATGGGACACAGGAAAACTTGAAAAGATGAGGGCAGTATAGAATCACAACTCGTTACATAGTCAGTTCAGTGTGTTCCAACAAATTGTAAGATCACTTTTATTAAGGCCTCTCTGAAAGTATTCTACTGGGGTGAAAACTGCAGTAATTTGTCTTGCATAGTTTATAATAAAATGAAATTTGAGAAAGGAAAAGTATTTATCATTCTCTTTGGCTTGTAAATAGGAGTGTGGAAACATGGTTCTTTACAGTACACATACGCATAAAAATTGTCTGGCTTGTAGCAAAATAACATCCATAAAAAAGTTTCAGTATCAAACACTACAAATGCACATTATCTTATATAATAGTTCAATAAAGAACTAGTTAGTGAAGTGATTATTCTATGTAATACATATACAACAGTTAAATACTGTACTCTATGCTTTAATTTAGTTTAGTGTACAATAGTAAACAAATATTTTAAAAAAATACAGTTCAAACATTATCCACTGAATGAACTCAAATTTTAATGCGATACAATTAAGGTACTAATATAAAATCTATAAAACAATTTCATGGAATGCAGTAAATAAACTATTCAACTACACAACAAAAATAAACAATTTTTGAAATTCACAGACAAATCTTACAAAAGTAGGAATTTTTAAAAACTTGAATTACCAAATATGACAATTTGTCCTCTCAGGACATTTTAATACTATTTTTAGGCCTCAAGAGAAATTACTATCATATCGAATCAAATGTTGGACATTTCATTACCTGAGCTTGCTTTAAGAGGAATGAAGACATTGAAACTATGCAGCACACATGGCTTTTCAGCACAAGAACCACAACCATTTGAGACAGAAAAACAATTTTTTTTTTTTTTGTGACAACTCAGTGATCTCCAGAGAACCATAAGACCAGTTTTATAAATATTCCAGTTTTGTAATCCAAATATCATAGCAAACATTAAAATTATATTCTTGATTTGAAAATAACATTGTATCATTAAATGATATTTCCTAGATATGATAAAAATTAACAAATTTTTTCAACATATTTCACACACCAGTGTTTTGTGATGCTTATGACCACTGAATGGGAATGTGCATGGTATAAAGAGTGTTCAGGAATTTAAATAATTTTCAGTATATTCTGAACAATATAATTCGAATTATTTCATAATAAAATCTGATTTTAAAGTGGAATCCACTAAGTGAATAAAACAACAACTACTGTAATACAATTAAAGGAAATATTTATAATATTAAGAGAGTGCGTCAAACATCAATAATCAAGAGCAATTTATATTGATATACCACAATTTATATATTCCTTGTAACTTTTCTTACAAGGAAATATAATAAGATTAATTACATAATGGCTTGACCACAATATTTGCTTATTATATCAATTATACGAATCTTTTCTTTTGATAGACCATGAAAGTAATTGCCTTGAAAGTTAGGATCCCAATTAGTCTACAGCAATAATTAACACACATGAAGCTCTCAACAAAGCCATTAAATGTTTCTTGGCAATCCATTAGTATACATATTTGGCTTGACATTTCAAGATCACATCAACATTTGAAGCACTTATACAGCAATATTTTTTTCTCACAGATAAATGGTTTACAAAATTCACAACTTGTTCAAGTTACATTATAAAAAACATTCAACATGAAACAGTTGAATGCATTTAATAACAATTATAGCAAAGTGTCGAAGATTGAATATTTATTTTAAGGTATTTTTGAACACACTTTTTTATTTTGAAAGTTTAAATTAAGGATATTAAAATTAAGGTGTAATTCCTTGTGCACAAATGACAAATGCAAATAATTGGGAATAATGGAATGTTTTGAAAAACAAGATGCATCTAATGGGTTACTTCATCTGATACCCTTATACTTAGCTTTCACTTGAATTGGAATCCTTGGAAGGCCAATGAACTCATAAATTCAAAAAGAAAACAAAAGATTTGCAGAAAAGGACTGTGTGTGGGAAGCACTAAATGATCCACAACTTTCAATGAAATAAAGTTTTTTCGATATTGTTTTCTGCACAAGAAGACATATATGCAGAACAAACTGCACATCAGAATGTACAACATTTAACAGTTACCTTCAGCAGTCAATAAATACTTGCAGAATCTAGCCAGTATTAGGAAAACAAATACAAACATTTTGAGCTGACCAATTCCCAAACTATCTACAAATACAAGTTAATAGAACCTCTGACTGTAACTTCACCTTTGACTTGCTATATTCACTATTACACAAAATACAGCTCAGTGGGCTGTCTGATAGTCATTTATTCTCAAGCTATTCTTCATCTATCAGTCTTATCATTGCCACATTTAACAGTTGCAGTAGCTATTAGTAAGAGTCTGTTATATTTGCAGTCACAAAAGTTATATTTTCTTGAAGTAATCACGATGGTTTGTGGTGACAGATTTTATTATTTACGATTTGGAATTTAACAGTATTAGTAATTGTACTGGAAGTTTTAACAGCGGAAAGTAAAAAAAACAAC